TATCTTCCCCCAGCGACTCATCGACTGCATGGTTGCCTACAACTGGAGTCTTGAGTGGGATTCCGCAGAGCGGAGGGATGTGACTGTTGAAGCTTCCCATTCATCGCCGAGTTGCCCCACACAGGCACCCGAGGATGAAGATGATCGCGCTTCCGCGGATACCTGGAGTTCTGATGGTATCTCCAGCGACGACGAGGAAGCAGCGTCCAGTGGCATGAGTGACTCATCATAATAATCTAATAATTGTGTATGTTCGTTTCAGAGTTGATTATCGTTTCATATTGCGACCTTGGACTCCAAGGCTTGGAGAGTTGAGAGGGCTAATCACATGAGGTCCTAGTACGAACAATGGGTGAACCCCCAGCTCTGGAATAAATCATTAATCCTGTGGGTTACAACGTAGATATCTGTATATTATCACTCCTCACGGTATGCTCTATCGAATGATACTAGAAAATTTGCCGGGCATTTATTCCCGGAAAATCACCCCCTTCAGACACCTGTGTTCCCTCTCGTGTCGGAATGCGTATCTCTGTTGCCCCTTGGATATCTGCTGGCGTCCGTCGTTACTGGTCCTCACTGAGGACTCCTCAGGCCGAGTCTGTGGCGTGCGCAGGTCTGGCGCCCTGGATATCTTATGGGACGGCTCCGAAACGGCTGGCTGTAAAACTATCCGAGTTGATGATGCAGAAGTCAAAGTTTTGCTATGATTTGCATGACATGTTTCGTATTAACCCGTAGCCATGTGTCTCAAGATCTCAGTTGGGGTTTTTATGTTACCCAATTAAGATCAAACAGATGACCTACGTGTAGTATTAGCCATCCTCTCTATTCCTGGTCTTTGCTCGATCTACTTGAGCCCGTTTATTGCTTCCTATCGTCAGTACGTACTTCTCCTTACGTCTAGTTTTGCCACTTGGACTCGGGCGAAGCGGGTGCGTCCGTTATCCCCACTGTCGCATGGAGTGATGGGATGGATAGGCCCATGATCGGATCTTGTATATCTGTTGCTTATTTTGTGTTGGCTAAGGAGACAGCACGCCGGCGGCGACGTCAATGGTTCGCTGGGACCATGACCAAATCTCGCTCGGCCAATATCGTTGTGGTAGCTTTTGACGATGGTGATATTGAACATTTTGATTCAGGGTCTTGTGATTATGGCCCATACTGTATGGGATCATCTCTCAATCTTAGTTCATTCTTGCACCTAACGGATTAAAGCCATCGGATAATCCGATTCGGATTTGTGTTCCGGGTTCTGGGCTGAACCTCATCAGAGGATTACAACAAAAACACTAGAGGACTGTTGAGACCTGATACTTGTGGACGAATGATTGAGTCCGGAGAAGCGGAAGATCAACGTTCTGATAAGTTCGCTACATCTGTTCCTCGCAGCCCCACGCCGTTACGACTTCTGTGATAGTGGTAAGGTGCGGTTGTTCGATGGGAACGAAACGGGGAGGCTTTGTGGTAATTGACTCTCCCTTTGGCACCTCGACCTATCTTGAGTTTCTGCATCCTTTTCATACAACGAGTACTCCAGCATCTCTTGATTATAGATTTTAGCGTCACGCTGTGGACGTGTGTTGATACATGTATACGCATACGTGTACGTGTTCACGGTAACCACTCTGGCTCCAAGGTCCAGGAGCCTCCTGACAGGAGGCTCTCCGATCACTACTGCGCACTCTTTTCTTACGAAGTATTGATATACTGTGTGTTCTGCCAGTGGATTGGTTTGGAAAACGGCAGTTTTGTAGCTGCCGCACGAAGAGAAGAGCTCCGATAATCGGTCCGATTGCGCGGGAACACATCAGGCTACCTCCGCACAAACAGATGCGGTGTCTCGTGCACCCCAAGCGTTGCCTGACCTCCGCTCACAATACACTGGGACTACGTATGATCATTAATATCAACACCACCATTGAGACTAGGAATACTCCATATATTTCCAGTGCTGACAGTAATAACTCTAAGCACTTTCAAACAGTCTATACTCGTCTTCACCAAGTAGCTCCGACTGTGCACCTCAAGTGTTTCTTTCTGCATCGAGTACCGTAGTAGTGCACGAGCTATGCACCTTCGGCCAGCTCTCAGTTAAACGAGGTTAACGCAGTATCGCAGTCCTGTGGAAGATGATTGAGGAGTGCTCAGGATAACAAGCGGCCTGGCAGTACGTATGTACAGAGCGTGATCGATATTCACGTGAGTACGTAGCTTTTCCTAAGAAACCCGATCCGATGAATAAGGATTGTGGTTCCACTGAGTTATAACACCAGAGCTACTAGATCGTCATCAATGAACGTTATTTCAGCTTCTTCACTCTCCAATTGACTAGTACAGCAGTATACTAGCTATTTGTTGGCCGAGTTTGGTGGTATGATGAGAAAACTGTCATCATCCGAGGAGAACTGACGACGCACCAGCGGAGCTGAGCGAACCACTACTGGACTCATGAAGGACAATGTTATCTCACGGCAGTTGTTGTTGGATCAGTCATAATGCGAGGAAGGGCAACTAACGTACGCTTCCTAATCAGGAAGCTCAATGCGAGACTCACATCGGATCATAATCAAACGTCCACTTACAAAATGTGGCCCTGACAACCAAACGGCCAGTGTCGACACTCCTACGCTCCAAAGAAGCGTCTCCAAAACATTCTTCAAAATCGATCAAATTGGTGCGCGCTAACTACGAAAGGTGTCAATCAACTTTGGACATCTTCAATGTCTTGAAGATGGCGGGGGCATCAACAGGAACTGCATCATCAGCATCAGCACCGACGTCCTCCAAGGCACTCGAGTGGCTTTTTGCCTTGAAGTTCGCCATCAACTGTTTGCTGTTCTTGCTGAAGTCCCGTGTTCCCCGTATTATCACTTTGCTTGATTTGTTCGTTTGTGTCTCCTCTGTGGGTGACTTTGTTAACCACTACCATAATGATCTTTTATCCCTGTACATTTACCTCGTCATATTCATTGCTCGTTTTCTCGTTATTAACATTGCATTTCAGTATCGTCGTAAGACTTCTATGGTGCCGGACATAGTCGTTTCGGTAGTCGTAGTCGCCTCCATCGTTTACTCGTTGTGGTTGTACATCACTACTGGAAATATGCCCGGTCGAACGCTGACTATTGTCGCCCTTTGCTTGCTTGAGGGCTTCTTCTTCCTGAAGCACTCTGATCGTATTCGTCAGCGAAAATTGTGTCGTTTCAACGCCAACTTCCGGTTGACCGCCCGCTTCCCATTCGCGAGCCGTCGTCGTCCTCGTCATCATCACCATCACCAAAATGTCGATTTAGAAGCGCCCCTGCTCGGTCCCGACCAGCCCAAAGAGATCACTGTGACCAGCAGTGTTGACAGCGAGGGTGACTTGGAGCATGGCTCAAAGGTTTCCTCTGCATCCTTCGACTCGTCTCGTCGTGTGTTCGCCACCGGTCCGGACGCTCATTATCTGTGTACAGCTACTGGCACTGATTACAGCGACATGGAGTGGCCATATAGTGACACTGCTGGAGGCATTCTCTGCTACTACCAGAATGTTCGATCTACCACGCCGGTCGTCAATTTACTGCTGATTCATCAGTTTGGTGGAGGTTGTTTTACGTGGAAGCGATCGGTCCCTTTACTCGTGAATGAATGCAACGCCAACGTGACGTGTTTTGATCGACCAGCGCATGGCTTCACAGAGCGGCCCAAGGACCCGGCATCGCCTGTTTACATAATGAGTGAAGGAGGTCGGCCGGTGTTGTTACCGCCTTATTCCATATCGTTCGCTCGTGAGACCATAGATCTCTTTCGTCGTTTTTCGGCCGGTACTTTACCTCAAATATTGGTTGGCGTTGGCGCCGGCGCTTTGCTTGCTCTGGAGTCAGCAGCATGCAATGAAAGTGTCAGTGGCGTGGTATTGATCTCCCCGACGGTTACAACCGGTATGGGCTTGCCTGGGGTCATACGATCGATACTGACTAGTAATGTGAGTAGAGCGTTGTCGCTGTCGATGTTACGGTCAGAAGTGGCTGACTTCATGATGAGGAAGTCCTGGTATAGAAGTAGTAAGATCCCGCAGTGGCTGCAAGAAGACTATAGGGTGCCCACCCGGTTGGAGGGCTGGGACGCGGCTATTGTGGAGATGAATAAGCAGCGTACTAATGTCCGTTGGAAAGTACCAGTCGACCTACCCAAGTGTCCGATATTGTTGTTGACGGGTGATCATGACAAGGTTGTACCGAAGAGGGAGTATCAGCGCTTCTTCACTCACCTTCTGTCGAAGAAGTGCGATGCGCGATGGGAGGTCGTACCGAGATGTGGGCATCTGGTAATCATGGGGAGGGATCTTAGCACTATCGAGGCGATGTTAAGTGGAAACTCACACAAGCGACCGAATTTTCAGTTCACGCCCAGCAATATACAAAATTCGTAGTGCAATTTAGTGACATTCATGTAAGTGGCGATTTGTGAATCGTCACAGTAGATATTGAAAATTGACTGGTGAGATGGTGACTTTTGTTAGGTAGAGGAAGAGCAGCCCGAGAAGTTTGCGTTGGCTATGCGAAGTTTCACTGAATATTGCGTAACCCCTCGGAGGCTGTGGCTAGCAAGTCGAGCACGAGCCGTCAGCGCAAACGCCATGGTGCCGACGCCACCATCTGGCGCTGCACATCGAGGGTCGTTGTCGATGTTGGAAGACGAAGATGACGATGATGATGTGGCGGAGTTACGGTTCTTGAGTCCTCCTTTATCGGTGCGGCCCGTGCGGGCTGTGACTGATAGGTGACAGTATGTGTGTACATTAGTACTGCTTTGAAATATTGTACATTCTCACTAAAGTTATTGGCGTAGCGTTGGCGTTCAGTTTGATAATGCATTTTCTCTCGAGTCCCATTTCTATGTTTGCCACTTGTAAACTCTCTTTCCCTACGATATTGTTCGGTCACGACACGTTTCGAGATGCAGAGCAGAGGGCATGGGACGACTACGAACGACAACGACGATTGACTGATTGGCTGGCGAGGAAGGAGCTCAAGAGGAGACGATCGTTGGAAGGCGGCTGCAGCAGCAAACGACAACGCACTGAGTGTCAACCACCTTGCCAAAACGGCTGTTTGAGATGTTCCTATGGTTATTGAAAAGTATCCTCGCTGGGGATCGAACCCGCGACCCAATAGTGATGCACATTGTAGGTTGCTGACTCACTAACGTTCATATAAAATATAACTGCTACTGTCTCTGGAATGTATGTGTTGCGTTCGGTGTCGTTCGAGTTGCAGTGACATCGCAACGGCAGTGATGAGCCTCACAGTCCAATCTAAACTGTTCGTCAATACATCCACACTGTCATCGTGGACGTGGTTCCAGAAATATTCTGTGAAGTCTCAGGATTGGACAAGAAGTTGGTTTGTGCTACGCGTCTTGTATAACGATTCGGGTCGTACTATACTAAGCAGCATGCTGATAGCTCAATCATAAATCCTGTTCTAACGTCAGTGTATCCGAAACGTTGTTCGCGGAATGTCGCAGTTAGATTTCGTAGTTAGATTTTTCAATTAGATTTCGGAGACCATCGTGTTATTGTTCACCGAGCGGGGCAGCTCATCATTAGTCGGGAAACAGTTTCGTTTGTATCCCATCTTCTACACAATCGATTCGACGATTAAAAGACTATTCTGGCTCATTTCATTTCCTTCCTGGCGCCCGTTACAACAACCCTCCGATTAGACGGGATTCCGGGCAATAAATTTTCTTTGCTCGTCCGCTGTCATCAGAAGTCAATTACAATTTCCCCATAGCACTTCGCGTATCCCACTGATCTGCGCAGCATTTTGGTCAACGAAGTGTTCAATCTCACCATCCTCCCAACCGCCGTTGGCCGGTTCACACCCAAGAACGGATGAAGGCTCAGTTGAGTCGGCCCCTAATGCTGCAGCCCTCTCGAACGACTGAAATACTCGACGCAGTTGAGGCTGTCGGTACACGTTAGAAAAGCTTCTTCCCCTTCGACTTGCCTTCCACATGAACAATAGACAACCTATTCCTTAGAGGAAACAAGTTAGTCTAAATTGATCTCGTGTTGTGTCAATTTGAACTTTTGAATCCGAGTCCAATAATTTCATACACGACTTTCAACTCCTTTCGAGCGGTCAAAAGGGCGAACTATAAAACACTACTATCACCCAACGACAAGTAGGTAGTAGGCAGATATCTCCCCGTAACCTCTTAAAAGTGATAATTAACGCGCATTTTATCTAACGATATTCCTAATCATCATTTCTGATAATTCCTCCCAAAATCGCTATGTCAAGATCTAAGATGACCAATATCAGGCTTCGTAACATACGCAAGCATTTAAATGCAATTCACAGAGACAATCCCAAAAGCTGACATCACAACAACCTCCGTAAATAACATAAACATCAAAGATGACAGTACAGCCTCTTAACACTATTATAAAGTTAATCACGCGACCACACTGAAGACATACTCGGTCTTCGAGTAGTATTTCTCTCCGGGCCTAAGAAGAGTTGAAGGGA